ACCAGGACTTCATCAGTAATGGCTGTTGTTGTTGTTAAGTGCAATCAAGTTGATTCTGACCCCTAGCAACCCTGTGTAGGATTTCCAAGAAGCAGCGGGTAAGCTTGAACCTCCGACCTTGCAGTTCAAATGGCTTTGCAGTCTGACTCTTTAGCCCACAGTGCCACACCAGGACTCCTCAGTGGTAGTAGTAGTTGTTGTTGTTGTTAAGTGCCGTCGAGTGGATTCCGACCCATAGCGACACTGTATAGGGTTCCCAAGGAGCAGCTGGTAAGCTTGAACCACCGACTTTGCAGTTCAAACGACCTTGCAGTCTGACGGTTTAGCCCACAGCACCACATCAGGACTCCTCAGTAGTGGTAGAGATACAAAAATGATTTTAAAAGATACTTTCCATGATTTTGAGAAGACAGATGAGATCATTGAGGTTTCCAGATGAGACAGGGAGATCCTAGGAAAATGTTCTACATTTCTCTGTCTTTTTAAGCACTCTATCTAGAGAACAATGACACTCAAATATGGGTTTAAATAGTGTGCATCATAATTACCTGGAGAGCTTGTTAAAACAAGTTTACAAAAGATGAATGGGTAAACAAATTCATCTCAGGAAATGCTACTCAGTAATAAAAAAGGAACAAATCTTTGCTACATGCAACAACTTGGATGAATTTCCATAGAATTATGCTGAGTAAAGAAAAAAAAACCCTGTATGTTTCGGTTTATATAGCATTCTTGAAATGAAAAAATATACAGAGTATTTATCAGTGGGTGAAGTATCAAAAAAGGGGATGGGGGCAAGAGGGAAATTGATTTGCTATAAAAGGGCAACATGAGAAATCCCTATGGTGATAGAAAATTTGACTATATCAGTGTTGTTATACTTGCTGTGATAGTGTAAAATAGTTTTATAAGTGTTTACTATTGGGAAGAAATGGGTTAATAGTACATAAAATCAATCTGAATTATTTATTGTCATACCATATATATCTACAATTAATTCTAGATTAAAATATTTAATAATTAAAACACATATATACACAGAAAGACTGCTGAACCTCACCCTCAGAATTTCTGGAGGGGTAGACTCCAAGGATTTAAATGTCTAACACATTTTCTAGATGAAGCTGGTGCTTCTGATCCAAGAACTACTCTTGAGATTACATTTTGGAAATCACTGGTATTTTTTAATGGGCCATCAAGTTAGTTTATAATGACCCTCTGTAGTACAGAATGAAACACTGCCTCGTCTTGCCACCTTATCAAAATCATTGTTGTGTTTGAGCTCATTGTTGCAGTCATTGTATGTAAATCCATCTCATTGGTATTGTTTTTAGTTTTCACTGACCCTTTACTTGACCAAGCATGATGTCTTTCTCTAGGAACTAGTCCCTCCTGATAAAATATCTAAAGTATAAGAGACAAAGTTACGCTAGCTATCCTAGCTGCTAAAGAGCATTATGACTGTGCTTCTTACAAAACAAATTTGTTCATTCTCCTGGCAGTCCAGTATTCTTTGTCAATAGCAGAATTCAAAGACATCAGTTCTTCTTTAGTCTTCCTTATTAATTGTCCCACTTTAACATGCATATGAGATGACTGAAATAACATGGTTTGAATCAAGTGCACCTTAGTCATCAGAGTGGCATCTTTGCTTTTGAGTACTTTAAAGAGGTTTTTTTGCAGCATATTTTCCCAACGCACTATGTCATATTTCCCAATGTTTAATTTCTTGACTTGCTTACATGGACGTTATTTATGGATACAAGTTAAATGAAATATTTGACAACTTCAATATTTTCTCTATGTATCATGATGTTGTTTATTGATTCAGTTGTAGGGTCTTTTGATAATTTACTGAAGTAGAGTCTTCATACTCACATGAGTTTTAATTAACTGGAGAGTAACTAATTGTATTTTTTCCTTCTTTTCCAGGTTCATTCACAGTTATGCTTTTGCTCCATTGATACCATGTGAACCATTTCAAACAGCCCTTTTCTTATCTTAAAATTCATCTGTTTCAGGTAAAGCCCATCACAAGTGCTCATGATGAATGTCTTCTGTGTTCAACAGGGGTAAGTAAGTTGGCTGGGTTATAATCAGTTGGTGGGCACCAGTTGTATTGTCATCTGGGAAGAAACTCTCTAAGCCAGAGTTAAGAGAGTTTGGAAGCTTTTAGAAATTCCTGTGTCCAAGCGACAGCCTCAGACAAACCTTTCAACATCTTCCAAACACACATAAACAAATTTAATTAAAATCTCTGGGTGTTGAATCCATATATCAGTATCGTTCGTGTTTGGCTCATAGATTAAACCCCAGGTTCCAAACAGAATCTCCAACCTCCATATCAATAGTCTTGGGTGGCGTTTCCAGTCATTGCTACTAAAGGGCTAGATACTACCATCCCCAAAGAGCTAAATTCTCTAGTGAGTAACTTTTTTCACTCCTTCTCCCATATTTCAGTTCCTTAAAAAGCCACATCTCTTCTGTTAGCAATATTTCTCATATGTTAGGTCCTTTTCCATTCTATTTACCCTAATTCAAGTTTTCATCTTTTGACCTAAGCAAGAGACTTACACCAATCTCTCACAGTATTATTTGTATCCTTCTTCTCAAATCCATCCTTGCATAACCACTAGAGAAGTCCTGGTGTTAAGCTTTATGATAAGCACTGGACTGCAAGGTCAGTTTGAACCACAAGATAGATGGTTCGAACCCACCAGTCACTCCTCAGAAACCCTACACAGGGTCACTACTAGTTGGAACCAACTCAGAGGCTCTTAGCAATAACATAACTACTAGAAGGTTTTGTTTTGGATTGAACTGAGTCTCCCAAGAAGTCTTGTTAAGTCCTAACTCCTGTATCTTTGAATGTGACCTTGTTTGGGAATAGTTTTTCTTTTTCTTTGAAGATGTCATAAAGTATGTTTATATTAGAGTATGGCGGGTTCTGCTTCTATCTGAGTGGAATCTTATACAGAGACACACAATGGGAAGAGGCCACATAAAGATGACTCTCTACAAGCCAAGAGTTGTTGGCCAAGAGTTGTTGGCAGCCACCAAAAGCTAGGAGAAAGTCATGGAACAAGTTTGTTTGTTTGTTTGTTTCCCCAGAGCACTTAGAAGGAATACATAAAACCAATACGTAAAACCAATGTACTGACTTTGACTTTTAGCCTACAAGTCAGTGAGACAATACATTTTTGTCTTTTAGAGCCACCTGCTTTGTGGTGTTTTGTTATGACAGCCCTTGGAAACTAAGACAGGATCTTTCTAAAATACCAGCAGAATCTTTCAGTCTCTTACTTAAAACCCTTTGTGGGAAACTATTATTTTTTCAGGGAACAAATTCCAAGCAGATTAAACTCATATGCAAGACTCTCTTTGATTTAGCTCTACCCCCATTCTTAACTTACTCCCACAGACTCATGTATGCACTTTGATTTCCCTTACAAAACCTTGATCACAGTCTATTTTCCAGACATATTTACCACCCCATAGTAGAGTTCTGAATTTTGGAGTCAGACTGACCTGGGTTCAAATCCTTCCTGTGTTGTTCAATATCATTGGACCACTTCAGTTACATTGCCCTCAAAATTAAATCATAAAATGTACCTCTCATAGTTGTTGTAAGGATTGTTGCTAGTATAATAAGGCACCTAAGTGTTATTGATGGTATAATAAGGTGCACTTAAACAAATACTTAATAAAACCAGATGCTTTGAGCCGATTCTGAGTTGCATGTGTAGAGAGCAGAACTACTCCAAAGGATTTCCAAGACTATCTTTTCCAGAAGCAGATTTCCAGGTATTTCTTATGAAGCACCTCCGGGTGGACCCAAAATGTCAGCCTTTTGGGTTTAGTCAAGGACAACACATTACTTCCTATATACTTAATTGGAGGTGGGACTTATCATTTTGTTTTAGTAGTTTCAAATATAGGATTTTCCAGGAAACATTGTTATGATTCTAAAACTATAATTTACCTATCATATACTTTATTGCTGCAGTAAACAGACTTTCAGATTGAAAATCAGGATATGTGATCCAATAAGATATTTCAAGACTATATTAGAAAATTTAGCATAGTTAGCAATGGGCACTATTCATGTCACAGAGTGAATAGCTTGGGCGAATATAGATCTAAAATGAGTGAATATAGGTATGGCATTCTTGAAATTCAGAGTGGACTATGGAAAAACTCAGATTTTTGCTATTGTTCATATCTACCACTTGAACTGATTGTATTGGTTTAGTATTACTGCATAATGTATAACTACAAAATTAGTAGCTAAAAACAATATCTATTTATTATATGGTTCTGCAGATCAGAAGTCTGGACAAGCTCATCTGTGTTCTCTGCTTGCTATTTTCAGTTGCCTTTGAGTCAGTTCAGTGTTATAGTGACCCTATGCACAGCAGAATAAAACACTACCCCCTTCCATGCTATGCCATCCTCACAGTTGTTATGTTTACGCCTTCTACTGTGTCAGTCCATCTCATTGGGGGTGTGTCTTTCTCTTTCTTGTTGATTCCACTTTACCAAGCATAATGTCCTTCTCAAGGAACTGGTCCTTCCTGACAGGATGTCCAAAATATGAGAGATAAAGTCTTGCCATTCTTGCTTCTAAGGAACACTGTACATCTTTCAAGGTATGTCTTCGTGGTAGTGGTGGTGGTAGTTGTGACTCATAGCGACCCTATATAGGGTTTCTGAGTCTGTAAATCTTTATGGGAGCAGAAAGCCTCATCTTTCTCCTGAGAAATGGCTGGTAGTTTTGAACTGCTGAAATGATGGTGTCTGCTGGGCTAGGCTCTTCTCTGGAAGCTCAGGTGAAGAACCTTCTAAACTAATTCAGGGGTTGGCAGAATTGAGTATCTTGTGATTGTATATGAGGTCCTTGTCTTTTTTTCTAGCTGTCAGCCAGGGGTCATTTTCAGCTCCTGGAAACCATTCTCAGGTCCTGAGTCTGTCACCCTCCATCACAGTAGTTGGGTACTTACCCTTTGTTGAATTCCTTGCATCCTTTGAATATCTTTAACTTCCTCCTCTGCTACTAGTCTTAGAAAACACTCCACTTTTAAAAGGACCCCAGATAAGGTTAAGACCACATAATCTCCCTTTTTATTAATTCAAAGTTAATTAAGTTAACATTGACTGTTTATATCTACAAACTGGATTATATGTTTAAATGCCTTTTGCCATGTATAGTAACATAGTCATATTATTTACAGGGGAAAGAATTAAATAATGATAAGGGTCATTGGAAGGCTACCTTAGAACTTTACCTACCATATTAATTTAACTGATTTTACCTGGGTGACCATTTAAACCAAGGATTTAAATGAATAAAACCAATTGGTGACTACTTTTGGCTATATCAAGGAAGGTAGCCTAATTTGAAATGGTTGGAGCACATGATTTAAAGTATGTTGTTGTTGTTAAGTGCCGTCGAGTCAGGTTCCGACCCATAGCGACCCTGTACAGGGTTTCCGAGGGTGTAAATCTTTACAGGAATAGAAATCGTCATCTGTCTCCCCCGGAGCGGCTGGTAGTTTCGAACCGCTGACCTTAAGGTTCACAGCCCAATTTGTAACCACTACACTACCAGATTATTTTAATTTTAAGAGCAGGGTTTGTAGTAATGTGATGAGGCATTTGAACTTGTTGCTAAGTCCTCTAGATTCTGTTATTGAATATTTTTATAGTAGTGGACTTTGCCTTGTATCCCTCTATGATCTGTGATTGTTGAGACAGACATGGGATAGACCTAGAGGCATCTTGATACCTAAATAATTGACACACTCAAGGTATTTTCTTTAGGTAGCCCAAAACTAATTATGCAGCTAAAGTGGTAGGCCCTTCTTTGTCCCCTTATTTACAATTGTTGTTGTTGTTAGGTGCCATTTTGTCCATTCTAACTCATAGCGACCCTACATACAACAGAATGAAACACTGCCCAGCCCTGTGCCAACCTCACAATCATTACTAATGTAGGTATCTTTAATGTTTGGATTTAAAAATATATATCAAAGGTATATGGGCTGATTTTGCAGTTAAACCTGAGTTCAAAAACCAACCCTGCTTTTGATTTAACTTTTAACAAATCCTTTAATATCCCTGAGCCTTATTGTTATCTACAAAATGAGTATAAAATAGAATACTTAGTTTGATTGTTTTTAAGTTGGAAATCAATGGGTAATGAATGCTTGTAGGGTTCTTTGTCCAGAGAACCTGGTCTAAAGTAAGGGGTCAGTGTTGTTAGTTGCTGTCATTTCAGTTCCAACTCCTGACGCTCCTTTGTGTACAGAGTATAATTACTCCATGAAGTTTTGACGGCTGTGACCTTTCAAAAGCAGATTACTAGGCCTGTCTTCTGAGGAGCCTCTTGGTGGAATTAAACCACCAACCTTTTGAATGATTGATTTGTATCACCCAGGGATTCCAATTGGTCTGTGGTAGACTATAAATCATTCACAATATTTTATAGTCATTTCTGTCAAGAGGTGAAGTCTATTTTCCAATGTTTGAATTCGGGTCTGTTTTGTGACTTACTCCATCAAGAAAGTTAGGCGACACAGGAGGCATTCACTCATTTCTGCCAAGAAATTTGGAAGACAACTATCTGGCTGACTGATTGGAAGAGATCCATATTTGTGCCCATTTCAAAGAGAGGTGACCCAATGGAATGCGGATATCATCAGACAATCTCTTTGATATCCCATGTGAGTAAAGTTTTACTAAAG